CGAAAGACGATGTGTCTGAATGATTGTCCCTCTCTTGAATGGGAATAAGTCGGCCTCCTGTTTCTGTGTGAAAGAACTTCTTCCGAAACTCTTCCATTAGTTTCCTGGGTAATCCTCCTACGCAAGGACCCCGTCTACTTGTCTTGTGAACGGTGGATGCGTGTGTACTGTGCAATGCGATCCATCTTTTCCTGTGAATGTCTCATTTTCGCACCTTCCACAGTGAATGCATGTATAGAGATGTGTGACTTTTCGGATTGATTAGACGAGTGTCGTCGGGATTTTGTTCGAGAATACAAGAGTGTTTAGATCTATAGTCTCGAACGCACTGCGCATGCCATCTGCCTTATGCGGCACGACATCAGCAACCACGCCACCAGGCGACCTTGAGAAACCAGGCGCCGAAAACCAACGTTGTGTTGAACTGAGTCGCGGGTCGGTCCCTTAGCCCTATGCATGATCAAGTTGATGTGTGTCTGCTCCCTCGTGTGTCAAGAAGGGTAGATTGAGGGTCGCATGAATGATTTTTTGATCTTAATGATGCCTCTATATATATGTGATTGATTGATATGTGGACTGACAAACACCCTTCGATTGGGCGCCAGCCTCCCGTATCTCCCATCCCAACGCGACATTTTTTCTACAGTGAGGAAAGGACACGTGTATGTGAGTGGGACGTACGAGAAGCCGTCGCACAAATTGGCAGGCAGTATTACTTCCCTCTGGCCAACCGTTGTTCTGGGTTCGTAGACGCCGGATTTGTCATTATCGATACGCACTTTCCACCCTACTCGATATTGTTGTCGTTTAACGAGTTGATCGTCATTCCGTGGACGGCAGTGGCGCCCCATTGGCCCCGCACTCTGTGCACGGAGTGCCAGCGTTTCGATCGCTACGAAGCGGAGGGCTTCCACTACCGAATACGGAGTGAGGACGAGCATAAGGAAAGAGCCACTCGACTGAGACCATCCACCTCGGATTCGGAGCTGACCAACGAACGACGACGAGATCTGATACGAAAACGAGACACACGAAGCGTGCCAGAGCCTTTCCGTTCTAAACAACGGGCTGTAGCCCGGTGGGAAGCCCGACAGTACTTTCTGGATTGAATTTGGATCTTTCTGTTTTCGTGCCATGTCCGCGCGCGCATTCCGCGCGAGCGAAACTAATCGACTTGTTTCATCGGACCCTCACGGGGGATTCAGTTCCATCTGTGTCCCCACACTCAATTTCCCAAAAATCGTTGGCACACCCCATCTTGCTGTTTTTCTGGGCCTCTTTCCGCACGTCTCACCACAGGGCGTGAGGTTGGTATCGGAGCCGACACGTGTCGGTTCTGATAATAGTAAGTCGAACTGGCGAGAGGTAGGAGAGACCCTCAACTAGCTCGTCGAGATCGCTCCGTAACCAGGTCCCAGTCTAATGTGACTGCACCAGCAGTTCCAATGGTGGACGGTACTAGGGTGATCGTTAGCATCCCTGCCCCTTTTCCCTTCTTCCCTAACCATACCCATCCCGAGGCCTGGCTGGAAGCTGTCGAAGCTCAAAACTACAGCGCAGCCGATCTTCCCCGTGTTCTGACATTACTACTTCGCAACACATCACATGACTGGTTTAGAAAACATACGTGGGTAGATTGGGATACTTTCAAGCAAGCATTCTTGGCTCGATTTGACACGGTTAGTGAAGATGCCGCCTGGTATGTACTCAAAAATCGACCACAAGGACCAGGGGAATTATTGCCCGATTTCGTCGATCGATTTCAAACCACGTTGGACAAATCCGAGCGAGACGAAAATTCCGCTCGAGACTTGTTTATTGATCACCTTCGAAGTCCGACCTTGAAAGAGAAACTGCAGAAAAAGGTTCCGCCGAAAACAACCCAGGTATCGACTATCATCACTAAGGCGTTGGAGCTAGACTTGACTGATACAAAAAACTATATCAGTCAGGGAGACGAGGACATTACAGATACCATATGGGATGTAACGGCCAAAAGGCGATCATGGCTACAAGCAGTCGAACGATTTTATCCCCGCCTCGACCATGATCTTCCCGGCGGGATTGTCTCCGATATCCCGACTGTTTCTCCTCCATCTCCCCCGGTGAATCAATCGATCGCAGCCGTTATAGCCGGAACTTCATCTGAACCCCTCTCGCCGACCGTATCTAATCTACACCTCACCCAGATGATCCATACGGCTACTACCAAGCAGTCCGAATGGGTGAACAACTTGATCCAAATGCAGGCCGCTCATATGGAGCGGATGGAACAGATAATTACCAGGCTCATTAAGCCTAACCCAGCTCCTGCTCGGCCTGCCCCTGCATCGTTTCCACTCTTACCTGCCCCACCTGCTCCAGGGTTCGCGCCTCAGTTCCCTCATCTAGCTAATCCAACAGGGAAGATTGAATGCTTTAACTGCAAGCAGCCCGGGCATTTCGCCCGAGACTGTCCGCAGCCAAAACGTAACCAGCCTCCCCCTGTTGCGGCCCTAGTCGCCCTTAATCAAGGACGAGTGGCCGCTCTGATGGACACGGACCAGGGAGGAGAGCTCGTAGCGTATGCTCCAGAACAGCCTTCCTCTTCGGCAATAACAGCGTCGACCTTAGGAGCCTCTTCCTCTGACGCTGTTGACGTGGTCGATCCCCTCGAGTATCTCCATCTTGCCGGAATGATCGGAGCGATCCGATCGGCCCAAGATGATCTCGAATGGGTCGATCGCGAGTCCAATCCTGGACCACAGTTTCGGACAGGGGATATTGATGTACTGAAAACGCTCAAGCAATTAGATATTCGCGTCCCTATCCCAGTAGGGCATCTGCTCACCATATCTGAAGCGGCGAACGATAAACTTTTACAACACTGCCAGAAAAATCAAAAGTGTTTCACCTATCAACGCATACAACGGATATTGAAGAAGAAAGGAGAAAACGAGGAAGTCGTACCCCCTGAGCCTGACACGAAAAAGTCGGAACCTGAAGCCGCACGTATAGCAGCGATCTCTTTAGCAGAAAAATATCACTTCGTACGAGTTTGGTCGGTACTATGGAAAAGTGCGGAATGTGACTGTGAAGTGTGGGGCAAACTGTTTAATGCCCTTATTGACAAAGGGTCTTCTGCCGTGGCCATATCATTGGATACTGTCAAAAAGACGGGACGACAGGGATCCATTCTTCCTCAATCTGGCAAAGACAATTATGTCTCTGTCGACGAGGAAGCAATGAACATCGTAGGCATTATCGAGAATGTGGCCGTAAAAGTTGGACGAGTACACGTCCTTGTTAACACGCTCGTAATAGATGTACGTTCCTATTCTGTGTTGTTGGGATTACCTTGGGCGATGGCGGCGGGCGCACGTCTGCATTTCGATTCGAAGCAACTGGTGCTCACACAAACTGGAGGAAAACCTCAAACTGTTCCTTTGCGAGTTTCCACCCGAACGATGAAACGGGTTCCCGACCCGGCCCAAATAGGGATGATCCGATACATTGATCCCGATGAAATCTCTCCCTCGCGCCTCGTGGATGAAATGAGGGAACAAGAATACGAAGAAGAGATGCCCCGTGAAGAGGAATGGAAATATCTGGTTGAACTTTTCGAACACGAAACCCCTGAAGAATTTCGAGTGTGCCCCGACACCGCTCGAAGTTTCCATGTGGATTCTGAAGACAGTGCATTCACACCTCTAACAACCCAGGTCAGTCCTTCAGTCCTCCTCGGGGAACCCATATTGCAAGTTTCCGACCTGACTGATGATTTGGAACCCCCTCGCACATTATACGAGGGAGCTCTTTCCTTACGAACGCGTTATCAACAAACGGAACAGTATTTGGATGTTTCTGTTTTTCCACCCAGACCATTACTAACGGTAGGAGTCACCATCGCCTTGATTAAACAAGAGGCGGAAGCACCGGTAAGTGACGTACCTAATCTGATGCAAGAAATGATAGATCTAACAGGGCTAACTGTGGAACCGACTTCGGTTGGTTCAGAGACCGACGTTGAAACCAAAGAAACGGAGATGATCAGCCCCGCTGAGTCCCAGATGATAGCAACTGTCTTCTCTGTGCGCACAAGTAGTTCCGTTTTTTCTAGTGTCAATGAGCGGCGGGAGCGGCCGGTTGATTGGATCGATATCCCCCTTAAGATGTCCAGGGAATCAACAATCACCCTCCCGAGTCACGTTCCCGCGGAACTACGGAAGTCGTTAATCCGTGTGTTAAATGGTTACACAGATGTATTGAGCGTGCACGATAATGACATCGGTCTGACAAATGTGATCGAGCATGCTATTCTCACGAGAGACCACCCACCCATTAGTTGTGTTCCTTACCGATATTCGCCAGCTCAACGAGCGGACGCTTTTCAGCGGATTAAGGAGTTCGAAGCTAATGGATGGATCGAACCCGCTATAGGACCATGGTCTTTCCCTGTAGTAATCGTACCTAAAAAGGCCGGAGGGATTCGCATCTGCATTGATTATCGAAAGCTGAGTGATATCACGATTAAAGATGTGTATCCCCTCCCCCGGATTGATGAGTTGTTGGATGCGATTGGGAGTGCTCGATTTTTCAGCAAGTTTGATGTTCGCCATGGGTTCCATCATTTTTTTGTTCGAGAAGAAGATCGTCCGAAAACGGCGTTTGTGCTTTTCGAGGGTACATGGCAGTGGATTCGATGTCCGATGGGTATCTGCAACGCCCCTGCGACTTTTCAGCGGACCATGAACATGGCTTTTCAAAATTTCGTACGGAAGACTCGCCTGGCGCAGAGCATCATCAACTACTGCGTGATTGTGTACATGGATGACATCCTGGTGTATTCGAGCTCCTATGAGGGACACGTGCAGCACATCGAGTGGGCACTGCATGCGTTACGAGATGCAGGTTTCAAGGTGGCGCTTGAGAAGTGTCAGTTTTTCCTCACCACCATTTATTTCCTAGGGCACGTGGTGACAGACAAGGGACTCCAACCGGAGCCGCAGAAGGTGGCAGTTGTCAGGGACGCGCCAGTGCCTACCACTATCACGCAAGTTCGCGCCTTTCTGGGCCTAGCCTCGTATTACCGAAGATTTATCAAGGGCTTAGCGGCGATTGCGGGACCCCTCACAAATCTCTTGCGCAAGGATCAGCCGTTGATCTGGATGCCGAAGTGCGATCAAGCGTTTTTCAAACTCAAGGCTGATCTCATTTCGGCTTCGGTCCTTATAAGACCGGATCCCATCACCGACTGGCAGCCAGAGGCGATTTCGGCGATCCTTGCCCAGGTGGGACCAATCGGACTCAAGAATGTGGTAGAGTATGCGTCCAAATCAGTACCCGCCTGCAAGCGCAACTACGCCGCTCCGACGGGAGAATGCTATGCGGCTCTTTGGGGAATCAATCACTTTCGTGCTTACCTGTACGGACGAAAATTCACCCTGGTGACTGATCATGAGCCCCAGTTGGCTCTGAAGAAGTCGAAGGATTACTCGGGCATGATCGGGCGATGGGCAACGGTGTTGCAGAGCATGGACTTTGACATCCGCCATCGGAAGCACGAGAGACACGGGAATACGGACGGGCTGACACGTCTGCATCGGCTTGAGAAGGTTCCAAAGGGTGAGGAGGTGATTCCGTGGAACGAACCCGAACAGGAGATCGGACCTCGGTACGGCCAAGTGGAGATCTTATCGAAGCAGTAAGTGGCACGAGGAGTAATTGTTTTGTTCTACCCCCCCTGCATCCTCTCCTCCTCTAACATCATGGCTACTTCACTCGCCTCCGCAACGCCTTCATCTCCTGCTAATTCTGCCCCTCTCACGTCCTCCGCTTTCTTTGCCACCCTCCCCGATAAATTCTGTTATTTTTGCACGTGTATTGCACGCGTTTATGGGGCTGACTGTCATCCCTTCGAAACTGGGTTTGTCGATTGGGTAGAATGTGCTACGTGTGTCAATCGTGCGCACGGGGCCTGCGTTCGATATCGGACGAGTAGCAAGGAATGAAGGTGCCCCCTGTGTAGAACGAACAA